CATGCGAGTGTGATTCTGTACCAGTATCTGCCTCGCCACATGTTCGAGTGTGTTAGAAACCAGCAGTGATAACTCATTATGCTACAGATGACGGTACAAAGACGCCTACAAACGCACACATGCACACGCTTTGAGTTTGGCACATAACTTGAACTAACCAGATCAACTTGTACCCCATCAAAAAGCTTACACATGAGGTATATAGATACAGCATTTTAGGGATAGGTCAGTGAGTATGCTTTATTTATTACTTTGGGTATGGTTGTAAGTAGGGCATTTGAAGAAGCTCTGGTCTTGTAATTGTTGAATTCACTTCCATTTCAAGTGAAAGTGTTTCACGAACTGATTCCACGGTTGCTCTCAGCACAACACGGCGGTGCATTCCTCTTGACCAGCCGTCAATTCATTTTACTGGAACATGATTCCGGCGAAAATGTGCTAATCTTTCGTCCGTCGTCGGACGGACAATGCTCAGCAGCCATTGTCTTTTCGGTACCAACCTGACATGCACTTTTTAGTGGATTTTCTCCACCTACAGTGCCCTTGCCCTGGAAGAGCTGCTACAGCTTTCCACAACTGATGCTGAGGCGTCGGAAAGACTTTTCGATGTGTGTGGGTTTCAAGACTGCCAATGATAGAATTTAGTCAAGCAACGTCGTTTACGGTAATTTTAGGATTGAAAGTTGAGCTTTCCTGCAAGTTGCCGATTAGACCCCAGAAAGACATTTTTCGCATTTAAGTATGGCTTCGAAGCTACCAGTTAATCAGTAGTATGAGATGTATTCATCCAATTTGGTTTAAGATGATGAAGGACTGGTAGAAGAAGAATTTCCCCACAATGCTATGAGTGCAGCTGATGTTTACATTCAATTTAACATAGCATTGCTTTCAAAAAAGTTGTTTTCATCCAGGCTGAAGTGGAGCTGAAATCTCGACCTCGCTTAGGTCTTATCAACACCCCCAGCGGGAGTCGAACCGTGACAGTGTAGAATGCGAGTTTGACAAGTTAACAACTCGGTCACATGTCCACGAGTGCCCTCGGGTCACACGGGAAATGTGAATTACAAAGAGGCCAGGTTGCCATATCATATTCTTTGGTGGGATTGTCGATGAAGCAAACGTATATTTGCTATAACAATCGACTAAGTTACTTTATTTTTCGCTTTTACGTATTGCTTCGAGACTACCAGTAAATCAGTAATATGAGTTTGGATGGATGAGAACAAGGCTATGTGAAATTCAATAGAAACGTCAGCTCAACTCACATCCTTCTGGGAAAATTCTTCTTCTACCAATCCTTCATCACCTTAAACGAAATTGGGTGAATGCATTATATATTATTTAGCCTTCAAAATGGACGGACAGGTCTAGACTAGTCATTGTCAGCACCCGCAACGAGATCCGTCACCGAATCGGGAATGTCGTTGCTGGGTTATTAATTCAAATCGCATTTTTAGCAGTTTAATTGTCGATTGTGCAAAAGTTTGCTACTTTCACAAATTGCGTTAATTTATTTCGATATGAGCACTTTTCGAGTCTATCAGTAACACTTAAATTGCTGTATCATTGTTTTCTCCCGCGTAGCTTTAGCAATAGGCAAAGTTTTCGCTAACTCTGCCCTCCTTCAATCTCGTGTTTCTTAAATTGGTCTCCGCAAGCATGTCAATGGCCTTGCAAATCTTCCGTTTCCTTGTCTTGTCACCGTAGGCGGACCTCCTTTCAGTTGCCTCCCAATTAATCTCATACA